TCATTCTCACTCCATATTCAAACTTTTCACTTAACACTTTCTGGCCTGTTTTTTGTTATAAAAGGCAGCCAGACAGGTGCAGCCACAGAGGTGAAGCATTTTGTATCGTTTCACTTATTGCTGTGAATGTGCTGGGTTGTTTTTTAGCTTGTGGTTTGGCTCAGCTGGATGTCCAGGCCAGTGGAGCAACGAAATAGCCTCATGTTGCACCCTGTGAGAGCTGTAACTTTCACTCTGAGCAGTCACTCCACAGACTCCTGACCACACCTGCTACGCTGAAGATCAGCACACGAGTTGTATGACTTCCATTTAGCTGGTGGTTTGCGGTTTGGCCTGGTTAGAGCACCAGAACCTATCCAGAGGGCATAATAAGAGTTTAGCTGGTCCAAAAGAGAAAGAGTGGGGATGGTTAGCCAGCAGCAGCAGCACACTGTTTTATTCAGAAGACCAAACAGAAAGATCAGGATTTTTTTTTTTTTTTTGTCCTTTTGTCAAAGGAAGATTAAGAGAGGAGTCAAGTGCTTTGGTCGCCAATATGTAGCTGTGGTCACCAGTAGCATGGAGAGAAGACACTCAGTTGTTCAAAGTAAACGAAAGGTGTTGGTTTCAGAACAAGCCATGACTTTTCCTTTGAAGTCGTTCTCCGTTTCTAGTTTGGTTCAAACATTTTAAAGTCAGAATCTTCCATACATACTATGAGTAATCTGCTATTAACCAAAGCAAACGCAAGGAGGGGGCTTTAGTGTATTGTTGTGTCACTGAAGGCCTAATGTGTGGGTGCATCAAACAAAAAAGTTTTAGATGTTGTGTAGCTATATGCTGGATGTAGGTAGTTATAAGAGATTCATTCAACACGTCACACGATATTGAGCAAACTTTAACCATGCTTCACTCCAACTTTGCTGTGCAGGTAGAAAACTCCCACAGATCAGTAAAGAATAACTTCTTAACAGCTGCAGAAATGATCTTCCAAACCCTGTCTTTATGCCCTGCATGCAGCAGGCTGGCATCTTCTTTTCCTTCGGTCAACCCTTTCCCTCACGTTATTCCTGTCCTCGGTTGCAGACTAGTATAAAAGCCTCAAGGCAAATCAGAGCAGCCTGTCAATGCACAAGAGTTTGTAAAACGGTGATCTGTGAGACTAGATGCCAACTGAGCATGTGTGGCCTTTTTTAAAAGTAGCCTCAAGCTCACTTTTAATGCAAACCTACGTTACTTGTTACCATAAGAATTCTGCTAACAAGATCCATAAGCAGATGGTAAAGATTTTACGCTATCCTTTGATGGACACTTGGCAAAAATCTTTTACATCTTTGCAAGAAAGAAAGAAACTGTAAACACGTGCGCATGTAACAGTGACTCAGAACAGTTACACGAGACTCTTAATCAGATGGGCAGATGTGGGTTCGATGTGAAATGTTTATTTAAAAATAGGACCTCATTATTCCTCCTAAAGACAAGTGGAGAGGTCAGCAGGCCTGCAGCCAAAGTGAAAGTAATTCTTCAGCCTACCTATCACATCTTTCACCCCTGATGGTTGACCTCTTGGAGAGGTCAGACAGCCGTGCATCTTTCCATCTCTGTTGCATAACTCTGATGATGGATTACAGGCGAGGAGAACAGGAGAAGCCAATTTCACACACGTGACTCGCCACACATGTAATATTCATGTAAGAAGATAACACATGGTTGCCACACCACTGAGGTGTTTATACAGAGACATCAAAGAGTTAGTCTTTCTAAGCATTTAGCTGTCAGGTGTCTCCCAAACCAGTCCAAAGTTTTCAGGCTGCATATTCCAGCAGACATTACTTTGTGCTGTATGGAATGTGTTTTTTGTGGAGTAATTCGCCTGGAGCATGTCGTTATATATGGATTTACTTTTGAATGCAGACAGTACAGAACAGAACAATCTGATAGGTGCTTAAAATCTCCTTTGAGCTTTCCTTTGGTGTAGATTCTCTAAGAACTGTGGAAAATAAGCACCAGTTTTTACCAGCACTTAATAATCCAGTGAACCCAGCCCTCTTTCATTATGCCTTCTCTCGCTGTGCTTTTCATGCGTCGTCACCCTACTTATTTGCCAGGCCAAAGATTTGGGAGTAGTATTTAGGCCTTGTTAAGGGAGAGAACAGTTGTTCGCCAAGTTTTTGCACATTTGCTGAACTCTAAGGCATTCGATGGAAAATGTAATGAGCAAATGAAAGTAGCAATAACAAAAAGACCTTTCCCTGTCATGAAAGATATACTCCTGATTACTGACTGTATTAAAAAGTGTAGCATGACGATGCTCCAGGTTTAAAGGCCTCGTAAGAATTACTATTTAAAGTAAAGTATTGGGATGATTGGACCTTTAGACTTGATCATTCTCCTCATTTGTCCGTAGGCGGTGCAAACCCATGAAGTCACTGTCTGCAAACACAGACGTGTCTTCTTTCTTGCAAAAAATCCAGGGTTATGTCTCCAAGCCTGCAGTGTTATTCATTCATTTATTTATTTATTTTATGCCTGCTCCTGCACGTGCATCTTTCTCTCTCGCTCGAAGACAGATTTTACTGTAATGTGCCACAGAGCAGTCTCTGTGGGAGATTAACAACAGATACTTCTATCAAAGTGGTTCCAGCTGTTTTCATTAAAGGAGTTGTGTGTTATTCTATCCCAATGCACAGGTGTTTCCGTGAAGATAGTCCCACGTGTGTCTGGGGTGGATCAGATAATATTGGCTCTCAAAAACAAAAAAAAAGCCAAGTGTAGATGCAACCAAGGGGCTTTCGAGCTGTTGTAACTGCATCCAATTATCTGAGGTCTATCGTCATCTTTAATCCTCCCAAATGTCTGTGGAGGTAGCCTGGTGATAATGGTGGTTAGAATTACACTATTACACCAAAATTAGCTGTTGAAAAGATGCTCTTAAAAAACCACGAAGCTGATTTGAAAGCCAGCTTGCAGTGTTCGTAGTATAAAGGTTAAACATCACTCTTTAGTCCAATATTTTCTCCACGCTTGCTGGTGATGAGGATACAAATCCAATAGGCAGTGGTCATATTGCTGTTGGACAAAATTAAATTCTTTGGCACTGATCATGATCATCCCCACCTTTTCAGGTCAAGTGTACCAGCAATACCAAGCTCCAGGTGGATACCCTCCTCAGCAGCCAGGTGCCCCACCTCAGCAGCAGTACGGTATGCAGTACCCTGGTAAGATTAAAAGTGATGCTAGCAGATAAACGGGTAGCTGCTGTTCTGTGTAGCCGATTTCTTTTATGTCTGGAGAGAATTAAGGATTCTCTCTCCCCTCTCGCAGCTGGATACAACCCTCAGCCCGGAGCCCCTCCACAGCCGCAGCAGCAGTTCCAGAACTATGCTCCTCCCTCCTCGCAGGCTCCAGCTCCTGGTGCAGCGCCAGCAGCAGGATTCCAGGGTGGGCAGCAGCAGCAGACCCATCCACCTCAGGGCACCCAGCAGTACCCACCAGGAGCATTCCCACCACAAAACTACACCTCCCAGGCCTCCCAACCTGCTAACTACACCATGCCGCCCAACTCCCAGCCCGGCTCAGGGTTCCAGCCCCGCCCAGGATATACCCCGCCTCCAGGCAACACTGTCACCCCTCCACCTGGAGCTGCCAACCCTTATGCCCGAAACCGCCCCCCTTATGGCCAGGGCTACACTCAACCGGGACCTGGGTACCGGTAAAATAAGATGGCAGATGTTACTGATCCCATCATCATCCTGTATGTGGCTCCAACTGTTTGAAGTGGGTGCAGAAATCTGGTTTACTGCCCTGCACCTTCCCTCTTCCCCTACCCTTGTACAATTATCAAATCCAAATTTAAAAAAGCACCCCCATCCCGAGTCTGATGGTTAGTGTTTGTACGCTGTCGCTCCAACACACCACTCTGTTCTGGCCCCGGTGTATGCTCCTCGTGTTATTTTTCCCGTCTTTTCCCTCCAGTTCCGTCGTCTGCTCAGCCCTCTTGTGTCTGCCATGGTAAAAAATGTAACCAGTCTGTATGCACACATGGAAAACCAAAACAGGCCGTTGCACAAACTGTTTGTCCTTTCCATGGTAACTCTTCATTTCGAGAGAAAGATCAGCATTCAGGCTGCATTTACAGCAAAAGCCTTTGTCTTGAATTTCCTCAGCATAGATGCGTTCATAAAACACTATCTCGATGAAAAGTTACCCCTTAGTCATGTTTTATTTTATTCTTTTTGATCAATTTCACCACCGTGTCGGTATTAATGATGTGTCAGTGATGGTGGGGAGCACTAGCTAAGTGATGGCCTATGGGAGGTATAGATCCCTGTGTCATTAAGAGGACTTTTTTTTTTTTTTGTTTAGCTTCTAATATCACCTCCAGTAAAGCTAGCTATTCCTTTCTTTCTCTTATCACTGGTTTTTACTAATATCAAATCAAATTGCTCCTTCAGTGAGATTAGTTGTTTATGTATAAACTGTAACATTTATTTCTCTGACCTAATAAATGATTGAGACCCATTTGGAGTCTGTGATGTCTTGCAGTGTTTTCTTCAACACACTGACTCTCTGAGGTTTTTATGAGTTCATGTCTCTGTTAAGTTTGGCTCATCTCTTATTCTTCTCCCCTGCCCGGATCTGGAAACCTGTGGTAATGCTGGTATTCCCATTTCATTTTCCTGCATGTGGGATGTGGTTAGCCTTTCATGTCAAACTGTCTCAGCGAGTGACTGAGCGCACCGAGCTAATAACATTTAGACAAGGGTGTGTAATATTTCTCACCACCTGGTGCGTGCCAGACAGATTGCTTTCTAGATGTCTTTGTCCACTGTAAATGATCCCCAGTTATTGATAGCACAGTGTTAGGGTTTTGTGTCTGCCTCTGTTACAGCAATGATGCCAAGCGTGCTCATGTGTGCAAAGCTGATGTTGCAATGGGTTGCTTTCTTACTGAAAGAGGACTGGCAAGATCACTGCCAGTCCCTTCTGAAATTCATCAAGTCTGCAAAAAGAAACAACTGTTTTCATTGGTTTGCACATTTATTACAAAGATACATAGATGTATGTAACATATATATTACACCAGACCATTTCCCGATAGGACTGGTAACTTTACCTTAGTCTTCTCCGGTTGAGAGGCAATGACTTGTTACAACCTGTTACGGTGTAGTTAACTGTTCACATAACCTTAAATTGTCAAATAACCTGTTGATTTGCGGGATTTAAAGGTGCTTGAAAGTAACAGGTCAGAAGTTTCTCCTTTATATTACTTTTTTGTGCTAAGTAAAGACTGTACGCGTCTGAAAGTGAAGCCAAAGTGTTAGTGCTTTTAGGCTGCACTTTTTTCTGTTAGCCAACAGGGGGTGAGACCCCAGGATACATTTACGTCTACGACTAAACAACTTCCGCTCTTATACCTTTGACCTTACTTGAACACTCTCATTATGAGTTAATGGTTTAATTGCAAATCTAAAGTCCTTTTTAATGCCATTACACACACACACACCAGTCAGTCTGTGGTGCCCGAGGGAGATAATATCCCTAACTATCCCAACTTTCTCCGTCTGTTTGCCAATAAGAATAAAACACGATCAATTGCTGGAATTATATACAATGCATTACATCACTGTAGCCATATAGGCCACAATTTATTTTAACCTTTTGCAGAGCTATAACAAGAGAACACATTCTACTTGTGCAGTTTCCACTATTATATTTTCACTCTGTAAAATACAGGACAAGCCGATATTAATGGCATCAAGTCTCATTTCTAAATGCTCCCATAGAAATGCTGGCCTGAACCACTGATTATTCTCTTTTACCTGAAATGTGCCACCATCTGTCGGACACTTAATAAACTGTATTGGACACCATATACATATATGAGCGGATGTTTAATACTGTGCAAACTGCAACTGTTAATAATCCCTTAGGGCCAGCAGAAGGTCACTGTGTGTTTGTGTATTTTACAGTCAACCTGTACAATGAACATATGATTGGCACCTGTCTGTATACACATGACCAGTGCGGGCGCTCAATACAAATACTGTATTTTAGTTTATCTCAAAAGCCCCAGCACACACAATTCAATATTCTTGATAAATATTATCATACTTTATATCAAGTTATTACACTTTGGGAGCCAGCTTCCCAACATTTTCTCTTGTGATTAATTGTATGTTCAACATTTTGGATCACTCCAACTTCTGCATTCCTTTGTCCCTAAGGACATTTTTGATCAAGAAATGCACTCTAGAGAGTTTTGTGACGCCTAATAGTTCTGTAGAAGTCCACGTCCAGGACAGAGGTGTGATTTTAAAGCGCCGTCTACAGAGTCCACGTAAGAAAAGCCCACCTCCCTTCAGGATCACTCAGGCGTCTTTGATGTCCATCTTCTTCCTCACTACTTAGTCCATCCTCCTGGACAGTCCTGTGGGTTCTTACCACTTTCCAGGTATGGGAGTGCCACACTCATACCAGCCTACGTAAGTCGCGTGCGACTTTCCTCCGATCTCTCCAAAGGAAACGGGCTCTTGTCTCAGCGCTCTGTAGAAGCCTGGCAACAAACGGAGGAAAGATGAGACTCTGCTAAATTAAAGGCATTAAATAATCAGCGGTTGTTTACAGCTAACCAAAATACCTTGTCTGCTTGGAAGCTGGTCAGCCAGAAAATGGCTGCCAGTCTTGCCATCCAAGAAAGAATCCACAAACTGACAGTGGTCCTCGCCGTATCCCGTCTGATCCCCTATGTTGTAAAACTTCCCTGCAGTGGAGAATGGAAGTCATTGTTTAGTTACCGCATAAGGAGTTAACTCCCAGTTCATTGCAAATGAATTTGAAAGAAAGAGCCAAGAGAAGCATGTGAACCATCGTTCTCTTCTTTGGTGTTTGAATGGTGTGCGATGCGAAGATGCTTTGCAGAACGAAATCTTTTGAGCTTTTTCATGTTTTCTTGGATATGAAGCGTGCTACTTTCTTTTGCATTATTTCCATTTCTTGTTTCACATTTCTTGCTGTTTTTTTTTTTTTTAATCAGTTTTGGTTTACCTTTTCTCATTACACAGACATACAAGCAGCTCCTGTGCAGCTGCCAAGTCAATGTCCTCTTAGAATTATGAGGAAACATTTCATTTCCATGCATCAACTTTTAAACTAATCTAATCTACTGCTTCAAATTCATTAACAGACTCATTAAAAAAAATCAATAATTACATGTTGAGGCCAATTTTATGCTTTTTACGATAAAGAAAAGGCTGTACTGCTGTCCAATCAAGCCGGTTAAGGATTGTGTTTGCAAGTGATTTGTAATGTGATTTGTGTCATTCCTGTTCACTGATTTGTTTGCGTAATTACCATTGAGAGTCTCGCTCAGGTAGATCTTGTATCTTAAGGAGTTGCAGAGCTGGATGCCCACAAACTTTCGGTACCAGGTTCTCTTCACGAACTGCTTTCCATTGCATTCAGAGTGGGCATCAGCTTTAAACGGAAACTGAGTCCAGATGGCATCTTTGCCTGTGGGGTTTGTTCAGAATATCAAGAGAATCTGAAATACTGATTTCTGACTTGTCGAGCTGGCTAAAATATTGTGAAGAGAGGGGAAAACAAATCACCTGAAACATACTCGCTCACTCGAGGGTCCGCTGCAGACAGGAGGGAAAGTTGTAATGAACAACATCATTAAGACATTTCAGATATAACAGGCAGTCAAATCCAGACTTGCCTCAGAGTGTCTAGCATATTATTTACAGTGTACAACCCCAACAGGATGGGCTTTGATTGCACAAGAGCAGGAGGCCAATTAAGCTAACCACTCAGCCCTCTGTGTTGTCATTTTGAATTAAAAACATAAGAGCTGATCAACGCGAGGACACATTTCAGCTGCTTAATGAATGGAGCAAATTCAGCTTAATGCTGTGATCACCAGGTGCATGATGTGTTAGAAATGAGCCTCAGAGGACATCTGGTGAGCTTGACAAGCCTCAAGATTTGATCCTTAATCAGCTTGCTCCCCAGTGCCATGCTGAAATGATTAGACTAGCAACCGCCTAATAGTACAAGAGAATTAATGCTAATCACAGCCTGGAATGTAACATGTACAGTGGCATTTACATGCAAGTAATGAGTTTCTTCTGTGGGGGTTTATGGTGGATTTGACCTGCATTAGATGGTCTGTAAAACTTGCCTGACTCTGTGCTAAAAGTTACAGGATCGGAGGAGGGTCCCGTTCCCAGCTCATTCCTCGGTGTTACTGTGAATTCATAACTGAAAAGAAATACATATTAAGGGCAATAATAATAATAATTATACGCTGAAAGATGAAAATAAACAGCAGTGTTTGACAGCTGAGTGTGGGTTCACACTTAGAATAACACACACAGAGCTGATGGTTCTTCCACGTGGTGCGCTCAGATGTGCTGGCAATTGTTCATGTAGCAAACCCAGCCCCAGGGAGGGTTCTGGTGAGCCTTGAGACTCCAGATGCTGAGATCTAATTGAAAACTCAGTGACCCACTCCACCCACATTTCCTCAGTTTTTTGTCTTGTTTTTTTTTTTGGTGTCACTTTGGCCATTTTGTGTGAGCAAAACCAAATATGACTCACTGCACGAGCGCAAGAGTTCAGAAGAATCTGGAATTAACTTTAAGTGACGCAAACTCGGAGCACTTCAGTGCAATTTAATACGCCTCTCTTAGTTCCATCAGCGGTGAACTTTATTAATGCAGTCAGTCATTTTAGTTCAGCCGGGCTGTGTTTGTTCATCTACAGATTTATATGAACAAATGTGGTGTTCGATCTCAAACGAGATTAAGGATAATATCAGGACGTCTGTGGGGTGCGGACCTGCTCTCTGGTTTGAGATTCTCCACGGCTGTGTGGGTCTGGTTGGTTGTCAATACTGACGTCTGCCTTCCATTCGGGCCTGTGGTGGTGGACACAACTTCATACTCTGAGAAAAAGAGGAAAGGGAGAACTCACATAGTGCTTTTTATTAAAACATTTCACCTGGATCTATTCATGAAATCGTCCCAAAAACAGTGACATATCTTAATAAGAGACACATGAGAACCGGAGGCAGAACACGTGTTTTTGTTGTCGTGATGTGTCACTGGGCGCAGACCTTGGATTCACTTGTTGCACTCGGTTTATAAGACAGCTTAAGAAACCATCTTAATATTTTACAGAACAATCTAGGGTAATATCCACAAGGCCACACGTGGTTAATAAAAAGAGATTACAATGTAGGCTAAACTCTTAATCAAGACTTGCAAACAAGTATAATGAAATCCAGCCACCTCATACAACTCAGGCCACCGGGAGGCAGTTTCAACCACCATCCATTCGGAAATGTCAGCCTTTTCTCTGCATACCTCTGGTTTCGTTGTCGGTTTTCTGCCAGTCAAGAATGACAAAGGACGGGCAACCCTCCACGGTGACCACAGTGACGTTGGATGGAGGTAGGCGGGGAGGACCGGTCACATTCTGATCGCTGCCTTCCTCATCGGGGAAGTAAGCGAGGGAGGAGGTGATAGAGCACGGCTCTTCTGGCGGCTTATCCGTCTTGTAGATGACGTGGGGAGCTGTATGTGGGTATGTTAAGAATTTATTTTATTCATGTCACATTAAGACCCTAATTGGTGCTGCTAAAGAACTGATTAAATCATTGATACTTTAAAATCTTACCTATAAAGCGCGGGTTGCCCATGCTGTCTACCTCTGACTTAGGCAGGGGCCTGAATATGGAGGAGTTTTCATATATGTCAAAACGGCTGGCTGGAAAGGAAACAGTTTAGAGGAGATGGGGTTAGTTTGATGAGCCAGGAGTCCCTGGCAACTCTCCCTCTTTTAGTTTTACAGCTTTGGCCCAGGTCAGTGACCAGCTAGCCCAGCACCTGCTCTGGCCTGCATTCAGACTCTTTGTCTGCTTCTTGGTGCTTTTTAAGTTTGCTTTTCTCTTTATCTCCCCACTATACACATCTGCCAGCTGCATCACCAACGCATTGTCTTTGTTAACGCAATGTCTGCAAAACTCATTCAGTCTTTATCCTTTTACAGGGAGGTGATTTAGCATGCATGTGATCATGTTCCTCAGAAGAAACACTGCAAAAATGTGCTGCTCGTACTGTTTAGCGCAGGGGCTGTGGTGGTCGTCTGCTGTTTGGGCTCTTGCTTGGGTCTGGCTGTGACCAGCGGGAACGGCTTCAGGACAGACGCCTTTTCTCCTTGTTTCAGGTCCATAGGTTTATCTGAGGACAGAACAGCAGGAGGAGAGTTCAGTTCTTCTCCCTCATTGTCTGACTCACAGTCACACACAGTTGCAATCCATCTGCTCTGGCCATCCTCACCGAGCAACTCAGTGGCCTTTTCCTGGCTGCTGAAAGATCAGAGATTGATCGTCGAGTAATCTCTCTAGTGTTCTTTAAAGGGGAAAGAGCGGTGCCAGAATGCATACTGCTGAGACCGAGGGTGCCCAGATGCGCTCACATGCACACAAAAACACTTACTTAATGCTCTTAAGTGCATTTATATGAAAACGGTGAGAGAAACTAAGCAGGGAGACAGCTGAGATGTAAAAGGTGAGATAAATACAGAATAATTGCAGTTTTGTGCGTTAGTAATATAATAGATGGCTTAAGATGGTGGTTCTCAAACTGTGAAGGACATGAAAGCAGAGCAGCTGTGACTGACTCGGAAAAATAAAAAATAAAAATCATGAATTTAAGTGGGTGTAGCAGGAAAAGGTGTATTTAAAAAAATGCTTTCACACTTGCAAGCCTATTAAAATTTCGTTTTGAAAGCATTACACAGACACTGAATAAGATTATTTTACAGGGAAGAGAGGATAGCAAGTGATGCTCGCGCAGAAGATGTAGCAGTTAAGAAGACTTCAAACTTTGGCACTCTGGAAGAAGTTTAAAGCAATAGTTTGGATATCTTTGGAAACAGATTTGGAGATGTTCGTACTGACAGATAAAAAGACTGATATCTGTCTGCTCAGCATGAAACGCAGCATAAAGACATAAAGACTGGACGAAACGGTCTTCCAGAACCTCTCCCTCACTAACTCAAAACTTGATATGTTAGAAAAACATCAGCTTGTTTATCTATGACAAACTGGTACTTAAACTTGAATTGCATTATTTTTCTTCCATACTCTCCTTTAACACTCGGGAGACTCTGAATGTGGGTGAGGTGCAGTTGCATTCACTCATCTGTTGCCCTCACCATGACTGCTAGGCTTTGCCACCAGGTTGGTCTTCTTGTTGCCAGAAACAGAGGGACGCAGAACTGCAAGGAATTGTGGGAAACAGAGTCTCTTTCAGAATAAAATTCACAAGAAAAGCAAAGCAGAATGTGGTCAGCACTGGAGAACAGACACTAAACTGAAAACAAGTGTTGATTAATGTAAGAGTGCAAAAATAATGAAGAATGTCAAATTTCAAAGGGGAGATGGATCAGAGCAGACGTACGCAGAAATACTTGCACTAAAAGAAAATAAAAAGACACATAATACAACATAAACATAATAAAAGCAACAATGCAGCAGCCAGACAGGTTGCATGTGACGTGCCCAAAAGCTTCTTGGTAAAATCCTGCCACAGGGGAGTACCACAACCTGTAGCTCATGTAAAGTCGGTGTGAAAACTGGAAATAAAAGTTTGAACCGCTCATCCTAAAATCTACAGAACTGAGAAGTGAGGAAACAAAAAAATAAAGCCAATACTTAAACCAAGGCAGGCCAAATTCTGGGGTAATGAAGCATTTTTTGACTCATTTCCACTAGAAAAATGTTTGGGATTTGACCATAAAAATGTTCCACAAAGAATGCAAAATAAATAAATAATAATAATAGTAACAATCGGACCAAACAGTGAAATCAGTATCACATCATTTCAGTCTGAGCTGCTTAAATGAACACGAGAAATGAACTGGCTTTTGTGGTTTTGGATAAGTGATCACAAAGAAGTGCAAGGTTCTGTAATGAAAACACCTCAACTACAAACTGTCAAACTCAGTTTTCTTATCAGGAAGATTCTGCTCTGACTTTAGGCTTTTGCAAAAAGCAAAATCATCCTTAATTAATGTCGTTTTATCACAGAGGAGGCAGAGAAACTCTGGGAGGCTTGACACATAAAAATGCCTTTACGCGTTTCATATTTGACTTCTTTAAAGAAAACCTGCTTTAAAGTTTGTGTTTCATTTCCAGAGCCATTTGTCATCTCTTATCTTGGATATTCATTATTGGTCACTCTGGCAACAAGATAAAAAATAATTGTCTATATAAAGATGCCAAAAAAACATTTAATTTGGGTTTGTCTGGAGTTGACTTCTCCATGGTCAGTATGAATCAGCGATGTCAGGCAAAACAAACTGAATCAATATGATTAACACTGAAAATATAATCTAGGAGGACATCTGACTCACATGTAGTGTACAGCCATGGTAAAAAGAAAGTACACCGTCATCAATTCTAAGATTTCACATATAAGGACATAATGAAAACTAATCTGGTCCTCAGCAAGTTTTAATGTTCTTTCAGTACAACAACATATGACATATCAGACCATGTCATGATTTATTTAACAAAACCTAGTGTGTGAAAAACTAAGTACACCCTTACTGGTTCCATAGGAATTAAGAGGGCCAGTGGCAGCCCGGTGCTGCTAATCATATTCACTTGATTAACTGATCATAAGCATATGTGCGCCTCTATAAAAGCAGCAGTGGTTTGCAGGCTGGATTATAAGGCCATTTTTAAATAACGTGAATTCCATTATTCTACAAGGAGAAAAATTATTCAGTAGTAGAAAAGATTGAAGACACTGGCCAATCTTCCGAGGAGTGGATGTCTCAGCAAATACAGCGCAAGGGCAGACCGTGCAATGCTTAGATAAACTACAAAAAAACCAAAGAGCTGAGCACCTCTACAGGTCTTGGTTAACATGTTAAATGTTAAAGTCCATGATAGTACAATTAGAAAAAGACTGAACAAATGTGACTGGGTCAGAAAGGTTGCCAGAAAATAACTCTCCAAAAAGAGCACATGGCAGCACAAACAGCTGATATGAACTGTCAGGCATGGTGGTGGAGGGGTGATGATTTGGACTTGTTTTGCAGCCACACCTGGACTCCTCTGCATACCAAAGTATTCTAGAGTCAAATATGAGGCCACCTGTCCAACAGTTAAAGCTTGGGCAAAACTGGTTCATGCAACAGGACAATGATACCGAACACAGCAGGAAATCTACAACAAAAATAGTTGAAAAGAAAAGAATCAGGGTGTTGCAATGACCTAGTCAAAGTCCAGACCTCAACCTCCTTATAAACCAATACCTGCAAACTCCAATGGACTGAAGTAATGTTGTAAAGAAGAGCAGGACAAACTTCTACAACTTACAAGTCATAGAGGAAATGATTACTTCCTACAGCAACATACTACTGCTAAAGGTGATTCTGCAAGCTACTAAATTATGCAGTTAGTATTTCGCAAACTGCTTCTGAATTTTGGCATAGTTTCTGTTAAATTAATAATGACACAGTGTAATATGCCATGTGTTGTTGTTCATCTGAGGTTGTATTTCAGGACTATTAGAAATTGGCTTGTACCAGATTTTTTCAGAAACATAAAATCTTGGAATTGAAAGAGGGCATATTTTGTTTTTACAATGACGATTGTTGTCCAACTATTACCAAAAATAGCCCATAAAATCACAAACTATGCCGATTGGGTATGTGTAATATGAAGAACTGACAGCTCTGACAGCGCTGTCATGGTTAACTGAACAAGAAATGAGCCATCAAGGTGTAAAGTGGAAAGTCAACAATATGTCTACAAAGTGTATGACATGATGAGAGCTGCTCCACAGTTTCTACAGCAGGTGAGTTTGGTTTGATGTTTCACAATAAAACCACTAAAACACCACATTGAGCCTGCAATATACCAAAAACATCTGATTCAGATCTGTGATTTAAAACAGCAGCAGCGGTGTGAGCGCTGGTTTCTGTCAGATAACTTCATCTTCTTTAGGGTTAGAATGTGAAAATATATGCAACCAAAACACCAAGATTTACGGTCAGGCCAGACAAATATTCCCAGTGAAATACATACCAGCGTCTCACAACACCGGGGTTATTACTTTTGCAACACGCACTCAGATTTCATGTGTTTCATGGATGTGATTCAATAACGGACACGTGCATCCAACTATAAGCACAGCTTTCAAAAACAATTTCAAGTTTAAGTGCCAGTGTGAAACTCGGCTCTATAAAGCTATTGTGGACACGCTCTAATTCTTAGTTTCATTAAAAGCACACACTCTGTACCAGCTGCTAGTGTAGTATGCAAAGCTTTTGATATCAACATGAACAACTTCGTTACTTTATAAAGGCAGGAAGGTGAACTATGTGTAGATGCTGTCCTTTAGACAAAGTCAGTGGGAGATTTTGTGCTTAGATGAGCAGGGCGGCAGGCAAAATAAATGTTCCTTTTTTTGTAGAGTTGCTTCCAGAGAGCCTTGCGACTCCTTGAAGACCTCTGAAACTGTCCAAGTTTCCAGAAATAACACATAACAGCTGTGACATGGGACTGAAGCATTGAACTGCTCTACACAACTCCCAACAACAAGGAGTGAGCAGAGCGCCACCATTAATACATGCGGTCCAGACGTGGTTTGCATTACTATTTGGGATGGATTCAATTATTCTAATTAACTGAGCCTGCCTGGCAGAATGGAAACAATGTGAATCACCAAAAAAAGGGGCAACCCACATTCACCTTTCCCAGCTAGCACTCTCAGACTAACATAAACCAATCCATATGTGCTTTAGACTTGGTAATATGAAGACAGTTGTATAATAGATTTCATAATGTGTGGCTTCAGTCTCAGTCAAGTGAAAGCCTCTGGGACTGGACACATCAGACAACACAGACCATGACCAGGAAACACTGTCACATTGACGGATAAGCTGAAAGTAACAGAGCGGATGGGGCGTGACAGTGCCTCTGAGGTTAGTGAGTTAGGAACACTGGAAGGCAATTATCTTGGTTTGTCTTTACCAGATTTTTCTTTGGGCCACACGATACGTCTAGGAGGAGCATTGCCCCTATGATGCGCCCCACTGGCTGCTGGAGGGAGAGAAAGGTCTGTTATATAATGTTTTGTGCCACTGAGGAAAAACATACCAGTACCAAATAAGAAGAAAGGCGAGATATCTGGGTAGTGAACAGGAGCGTATGCTTAAAAGAAAAAGAGATACAGAAGAGAAAGAAGGACTGTGGTGGCTGTTGGCACAGCACTTGTCTTGGCATTGGTGGCGTAAAATGTGATGTGTCCTGGCCAGTGCTGAGGCCAGACTTCCCACCTGGCCAGCGAGAGGGACCGTAAATCATGTTAACGATCCTTATACCATAGACGCCATTGCTGCTCGTGGTAAAAGTGTTAAATACATACCAAGCACATGTGGCAGAATGTGGAGAGGACAAAATTGATTGACTACGGTATGCTCTCACCACATATCGTGTAGCTAAAATCACTAGTCATGAGTTTGTTTATCTTCTTCTGTAGCTGTAGTGTGTGTAAGCGTGCTAAGAGAAGGTAATAACCTGAGGTAGCTGCTTGGAAAAAGAAATAAGTGAAGGGAAAGTGAGTATTCCATTACCGCCAGGTGTGCTGGAACTGTGAGAGGAAGTGACTGTCCTGGATTGTGAGAATGGTCTGGCAACATGATTAGTGGAATGAGAAGGAACCGATGTGCGACGCAGGGTGGTGTTTCTTCCTGCTGTAGGAACAGATGAGCTAATGGGAGAACGAGGAACTTCAGACGACCTGAGAACACCAGGACCTAGATGAGTAGAGAGGCAACTGGAAGTTAGTTAGTTGGGAGCTGGAAGGCTTGACCTAGATGGGATAAATGGTAAAGCATGTACGTGAAAAAGAATGCAGAGGAGCAGACACTGGATGAAATGACAGAGCGCCATAAATGAGATCGAAAGCTAGCCAGACTAATTTGTTTGCGAATGGGCAGGGGTGAGGTGAAGTGTGCTGCACTGAAGATGGAGCCACACATGGAGACAGGAACAACAACAGGACAGGGTGTGTGGGGTGATTGGATGGAGATGGAGATGGGGAAGCAGTGACATTGTCAAATGGTTTGAAATACAACTCAAAGCACCATTCTCTGTGTGGCTTGACAAAAAAGCAGAGATGGTAATGGGACAAACTTGTCATGGTGTTTACCATGATTGTATCTACCAGCCTTCTCTGTAGCCAGGGCAGGTCTTGGTAGAGGCTTGCCCTCTTCTTGTGGACTAGGAGCTGTGTGAAAGAAAACTCACTTTATATCTGGTATAAGATGCATGTGAACATAGTTTTAGTTTTTTTGTTTTTTTGTTTTTTTACAGGGGGCTTACCCTACTACTATTTGCCAGTTGTTGGTTTCAAAATGAATGCATTGACAAAAGTTGTGATCACCATATTTAAGAATTAACTCATACACATGTCATGCAGTTATCCTCTTGGGTTTAACTAAGGTATGGATTACTATCAAAATATGTAACTTACTAAAAGATACATTCTAGCTACTTCTGAGATAAGAGATGTAGAACTCTTTCTTTAAAACAGTTTCTTCATAAACTAATTCCGCCCCCATTAAAAATTAAATAATAACAATTAATAGCTAAGATTTTAATGCTTAAATTGCGGATTACAAATTGTGGATTGAAAAGTAGGGTCTTTACCCGTAGGGACTGCCTGCTTTGAGGTGACCTTGGTGGGATCAGAGTAGGTCCTGGAGTGAGGCTGAAGCCCAGCTTGAGGTTTAGGTTGGGGCTTAGATGGAAGTTGGGGTTGTGACTGGGCCTTTGATGGAAACTGTGGCTTGGTAATGGGTTGAGGTACAACATGGTCCTGGGTATTTTTTGGAGGTTGTGATTTTAACTGTGGCAGAATTTTTGGTGGAGAGTTTTGCTTATCCCTAATTATTGGCTTTGAATGACTTTTTGGAAGTTGAGTTGATGGGTGAAGCTTGGGCTGCCTTTTTGGTTGAGAGAGTGGTTGGGGCTTAGTTTGGTTCTTGGGCTCGGGTTGTGTTGAGGGTTTGGAATGGGAAGAAATTATGCTTGGTTTTGATGCTGGTTGGATTCCAGACTTGCGCCTGGTACTTACACCTGGCTGTTGTTGTGGTGTCTTTGGTTTATGTGGTGGATTTGGAGATTTATTTTGTGGATGAGGTTGAGGTTGAGTTTGAGTCTTTAGCGGTCTTTTCTTGGTATAGGGAATGTGCTGGGGTATTGGATAAGTGGATTGAATAGATGGCACAGGAGTGGTTTGGGAACTTAGTTGATCTTGTCTCTGAGGCTGTGTCTGGGTCTTATGTTCCTCTTGTGCTAGTGGTTGGGCCTGGCGTTTGGTGTAGGGTGTTGGCTGAGGCTGTGTTTCTGCTTCAAGATGTGGTGTGGTTTGAAGATGTGATTGGGGTTTTGGTTTTGTCTGAGGCAGTGAAAGGGGGTGGGTATGCTCTGTAGGCTGGGATACTGCCAGGTGTTGTTGAGGTTGGGTGTGGAGTTTGGGCTGGAATGTTGTTTGGATTTGCAGTTGAGGTTTTGTTTGAAATATAGGCTGGGCTGTTGATAGGGGTTTTGGCTGTGCATGGAGCTTAGTACGGGCTGTTGTGTGGGGTTGTAGTTGGATCGGGACTTTCTGCTGGAGTGTTGTGTGGAGTTGTAGTTTGGTTTGGACCTTTAATTGGGGTGTTGTGTGGGGTAGTGGTTGGATCTGAATTATAGACTGGGGTGTTATGTGGAGTTTTGATGTGGTTTGGACTTTGATTTGGGGTGTTGTGTGGGGTTGTGTCACAGTTTGGTCATGGGGCTTTGGGAGACGTTGAGCATTAACTCTGGGCTTCATTTGAGGCTGTTGGGGTTTGGGCTTTGGTAGTCCTGAATACTGTTGCTGGAGCTTCAAGTTAGGTTGAGGTTGTACGTGCCCTCCATGATTCTCCACATTTGCCTGGACTACTGGCACAGGTGCCATGGTGGTTGTTATATGTAGTAAAGGATGGAGCTTGGGAGTTAATGGGACCTCAGATCTGGAGAGGTCTCCTCCTCCTGGGTTATGTGAGAAAAAGAAAAGATGCCCATGAAGCCACAGTTGTGTACTGTAAAATTTCAAAAATAATCTTCTGTTCCATTTACAAAATGTAAAAAAAATATATACATATATATTTTTTTCATCATCCAGGAAAGACATAAAAGCAAGAGAGCCAACAGTTTAGACCAACTGATGTGCTACTCAGAGCAATTATTGAAAAAAAAAGAAAACAAGCAACACTGCTCTATGTTTGTCTCATAGGCCAAGTGCAATTTCAATGGCAGATAGAGCTTGTGCAGGTATTATGTGTTATGACAGGAAAGGCTATTGTGGTTAAGTGTGATGAGCATCTAAATTCACTGGTTATGATGACTTAGTGTGGAAGTTTGATAGACCATTCTAACCTGGTTGTTCAATCTAATGAGATGTTCCCATCAATGAGCGAGAATGAAGAAAAAGAGGAAGTCAAAAAAGAAGAGAAGGAAACGAGGAAAACAATAGTATAGCCCCTTGAATTAAAGCTACAACTTCAGTAACAGATCAATTTTATCTAATTTTAAACTATGGTGGCGTACACGGCCAAAAGTTTGGAATGATCTCCATTTACTTGAGGAACTGACTATATCCCATTTTGTGTTTCAGTGTCTACCTTCATGGTTTCAAAATACATTTCCAGCACTGTGTTTCTGCAGATCCTTGTGTTTGAGAACATAAATGTAAAAAAGAGGGAACAGATGACAGTGAAATACAGGGAAGAAAAAGGAATAACATAGTTTGTTGAAGTTCCTGTTGGAAGAAGAGAAAAAATTCCATCATGCAGTTTATTCATGCAGATTTCCACTGCCACCAACTCCACTGCATTAAAAGCAAAAGCCTCTAATCATCCAAAAATGGTAATAACCACACTGTGAATCCTGAAATAAAAATAAAGAGTTTAACATACCAACAAAAAAAATGCTAGACATGGAAATACAAAAAACTTTTTAAAAAATACAGTGGATATATCTGAGATATAATTTGGAATATGTATGATATGACTGAAATCAATTTTTTTTGAATGAGCAGCAGCTAATGAGGTTCTCAGAGCTCATTAAAAGTCACTAATATCTCTGGAATATAAAATCGTTTTGGCTTGCAGGCTTGTTCAACTAACTTTCAACAACTGAACCCTGAGAACATCATCAACAATCTCTGCAAGCTTTGTTGTTTTCCTAAAATCCCATGCATCCAAGATCACCCACATTACTGCAGCCCAAACAGCTGCTCATGCAACTAGTGCAATTCCGTCCATCATTTTACGCAGCTGAAATGAGAGCCATGAAGCTTTTCAAAAAGAACCATGATTCTCTGTTTACCAATTGGCTGTTTGTTGATCACAGCAGGTGCAGGTCCACGAGTAGACAGGGTTTCCTTAGTAGTAGTTGTGGTTTTGGTTGTGGTTGTGGTTGGCGCTAAGAAAAATAGTGTATGTTAGTATAACCAAGAGAAAAGGTATGGGTCTACAACCTGTAGAATGTGCAGGGCAATATTGTTTGTATAATAAAAATTAGCTTTCACGACAGCGATAGAGAAGTCAGTGTCAGACATGAGGTCCAGAGATCTTTCTGACCTCTGAACTCAGTTTTAGGTCAGAAAAATCATTACCAAGAGTCGTCTGTGTGGCTATGTTCCTGGAGAATGGCAGTCTGCCCCTGGTCTTGTTTTGGACTGACAAGGACAAAGCAGAGATTAAAGTCAAGGAGAGAAAAATTACAATGGCTTAATTTTCACTTCTGAAAAGCGGTAAATGATCATGATTAGTCAGACATTTAAGAGCAGCAAAATGTGTTTTGAAAGAGTCAGTTCACTAAACGTTTTGCACAAAAATGTTTAGTGCTGGTTTAATCCTCCAATATTAAACGTGATATCTGAGAGCTAAAATTAGGAAATAATTCAAATGTGCATTCATTGATTTTGGTGTCAACAGAAACAATTTGTAGATGCAATGCTGACATTTCATCCCTCTGTCGTATTAATACTCTTTACCGTCTTTTAAAATGTAGAAGTGAATAGCAACCCTTTTGACATTACTGTACACCGCCTAACATTACAACACTCCACACCATCATAATTGCTGTAAAAAGTTAGTTGATTTACCTTATCAAAACTAATCTTTTTAGACTGCGTTCAGTGGAATTGTGTTAAGCATTTGAGTATCTTGTTTATTACCAGAGAGATTAATTCATGCTGTGGTATGACAACAACCTCAAACATATAATCACATTAAAGACAAATCACTTTAAGGAACATAAAAAAAGGAGTCCAACGGATGATATCACCCCCACAGAAAATTCTTCATAACTTTATTGAGTCACTCAGGCATTACTTGAAGAGAAAGAAGAGCTAGAAAAGATGGAAAATCCGTGGAAAGTTCTTGTAGATGTTTGGAATACAGTGCTGAGTACTGTTAAAAACTGTACTTTGCATGCCCAGCTAAGTAAAATAATTTTAGAAGCTGGAGGTATATGGGGAAATCCTGTCCGCAGAACAATAAATTATGGCTTTATTAATATTTCCAGTGTTAAATCTTAAGGTAGGGGTCAGTGGAAAGGAATTCAAACAGAGATCTCTAAGCAGCAGTAGATTCTGCCTTCTGCATCAAATTCAACTCAGCAGTGTCTCTCTGTTTGCTTACCTGAGGAAGTGAGGTGAGGAAATGAGGGCAAGGAATGGGGACCTGAAGGTACAGGTTTCTGATGGGTGAAGGGCAAAAAAGACATGAAGAAAAAGTGGGTTTAGTCTATGACTATCATAACAGGTGAAAAGAATTAGTATTTGGGCTGTACCGTGTCTTTTCCTTTGTTGCATAATCTATAACCTATGGCCTCTTTACATTATGTCAAGTTGGTAAACTCCCTAGTGAGACTCTTGTTATTCAAAGCTTTCCTTTAAGGGCAAGTCCTGAGGCTAAATCTCAACAGCTGTGCTGTTTTGTGAGATTGGCATGATAGAGCAGAGCCACGCTGTTAGAAAATTTGTGCCACTTTTCTTTTCTGAACTCTTTTCAGCATTATTATCCCTCCTCCCTTGTGCCTCCAACTCATCTCCCTTTTTTTTAATCCCCACTCAAGTTAGCTGTAGCTGCAGACTGCTCTCTTTGGCTTGACTGCTCTCTGAGTCCTGGCTGCATCAATGCCGTTTCCATTCAGCAGTTGGATGGAAAATTAATGAGGCAAACAACCCTGAGAATAGCATAAGCTCACCAAAGTGTACAAGGACTCTAAAGCAGATTGCCCGTTCCAAATGCACAACCAGTTCCTTTTTGTTTTCTTTGATAAATGGAAGTATACCTGTGCCATTTCATTACACACACTTGTTTACTGCAATACTGAGCCTATTCGACCTCTAGTAGCACGTGTATCCACAAAAAAATAGAATAAAACACTGAATATTTAGGTTTGTTTCAATAACAAACTGGCTGTGTCCATTACATACCGCAGGGCTGACTGGAGGCCTAAAGATTTTCCTGATGACCTTCTCTAGAAACACAAGAGAAGAATCAGTAAATAAGTGACTTCAGTGGAAGAAACAATGTGAAAGGAAAAAAAATGGTTCGATTCAGTAACTGGAAATGCAATACTGCACTGTAGCCTTGTCATGCTCACATAATCGGTAAAGACTAAAGCCCTATCTACACATGCACTGCAGCCCTGAAGTCCTCTAGTCTTTAACAGAGCAGATTTTGGGATTGCACATGTCAGACTGAATGCTGAATTGTCTTTAACCTGCTCTCAGACGACGAGACAACCAGATTCTTATGACTCTGTTCTTATACGAGAATGAGTTGTAGCATTTGTCCCAGAAATTTCTACCTTTTTCCTAGCACTACCTGTCAATCCATGTTTTTATTAAGATGTTAAAAGAATTGTAGTCAGATTCGAGGTATTTGCTACAGAAGGTGATAATATGGCTAAGCAAAGAAGTCAAACTTGCCTTCGACTCCTGGCATGCTGATGTTGTGAACAACCGGCCTGCTCCACACACCGGTGCCATCCTTAGAATTTGGCTGGACACCAAACTCATAGACTGTGTTTGGCTTCAGTTTGTCAATGACTGTATCGCTTGTTGGACAGGTCTGGTAGTTCCACTTCCTGTTCTTCTCACGGTAACGCACTGTGTAGTGTCTGAGAACAAGACACAGAACAAACAGAACAACTCACACACAATGCATCCACTAATGATCACATCTGGAGGCATGATGCAAGAAGTACAAGGAGAATATGATGCTACTGTTGTAATATTTTTTCATTTTCTTTTTAGCGAAACCTCGCGTGCTAATGATGCTGTCAATTAATTCCATTTCATTAAGCAAAGTGACAAATGAATCTTTCCATGCCACGTTTCCATTTCTCTTGGATTTCCCTTGGCTACACGGGGCGCCTTGAACCCATCTTCTTAAAAGATGGAGTCAAAATCAGAAATCCCTCTGAAAATGGTTCAATCAAATTTATTGCTGTGTATCGCTGCCATCATCTGAACTGCACAGTGAGGTCGTGATTTGACTTGACTTGTGTCTGTGGCACAACTTAGTTTCTTTCCTTTCCTTTAACAGAACCAACAAACACATGGTTATTAATCTTTATATAAGACATACATATGAAAATAATATTTAACCACTGGAAGATTTGTTGCAAACAACAGAACCGTCACTTTAAAAAAAAGTAGTACTTCATCAAACACAATCTGTGTCACAGATTGTTGACTCCTAAACACCTGTGTGCACAGGCTGCCCTGGATCCACTGCTAAGTAACACGAGAGGCTTCAGGGACTCATTTACTGTTTGTGCACTTATTCCAGACTCTCTGCAGCAAATGTGTGTGTGTGAGAGGATAGAGATTGGACAGAGAAAGATTTATTCCACCAGCTGTTACTGAGCTCATCGTAACAACAGTACAGCATTGGTACAAGAAAATCTCAAAACCCTAGACTGGTACTTTAGGAAAAAAGTACAAGCATTTAGTCTAGTTTGGCTGCAGTGACAGTTATGCCACTGGTAAGCAGTAATATATTGCAAGCAGTGAAAGGGATGGGTGCATAACATATCCTTAGAATAACAGATGTCCTCATTCACTTCTGAGGAGCTGGGTCAGTGGGATTGATAGCAATAACTGCACAAAGCTCAATTGAATACTCCAATTTGCTTTTGTGACTTCAAAACCTCTGAGCTGGCAAACATAACACATTTTTAAAATCACTCCAACTAATACCTCCCAAATATGGATATATCTGATGTCTATATGATATAAACATTCAAAAATTCACCACAAACCTTAAAAAACAATAAAAACAGCAACACACTCCGTATAGCCCCATACATAATGAAGGTTCTCTTAAATTATTCTTAAACAAATTCAGCAAAACTTTTTTTTAAATTAAAAAACAGTTCATTTGACATAGTTATAATCAGGGCGGCACATAAGTGGTCCGCAGGTGCGCATTCGCTGTCAAAATAAAAGACGCACCACCAGATAAGAAGTTGGAACGCGCGTTTCCGTACACAAGATCCGTAAATTCCGAGAATACGCGCTTCTTTTGCGGTGGAGGAACACCAAAGTAATTGCTTATGGAGCTTGCTTCTTCGACATCTTTAAGAGTTCTGAACAAATGTGTGTCCTCCTCCAGAACATCTTATGTACGCAAACGTGCGTTCCAACTTCTTATCTGGTGCGCGTCTTTTATTTTGACAGCGAATGCGCACCTGCGGACCACTTATGTTCAGCCCTGGTTATAATGTTGCCAAACTGCCAAAATTAAAAAAAAAACAGACTAAATGATAAGATATTAACATTATATTGTGTTTATATTACCAAAGTCACAATGGTTCTGTCTCATTTTTTAAAGAAAAGCCTGCTTTGCGCAATGACACATTTAAGCTCACCCATCCTCCAGACAGTCATTCATGACGTTGCCTTCATAAGGGGTTTTCAGCAGTGTCCCCCAGGACAGAAGAACTGAGGTTGGCGTCACCGACCCAATGACCAGGTGCAGCGGCTTCTGCAATTCCACTTTACCTGAGAAAAGGTTTGCATCTTACTAAATGTGCAAAAAACACTTTCAGCAAGTCACATTGGTGATAACTTCCTTTGCTTTAAGCAGACATACCTGTGCACTGCTTCTTCACCTCGTTAGCAGGAATAGGCTGGACAGCTATAAGGTACTTGGGCTCAGCATCTAAAAGCAGAAGAACAAACTGCAGGTTATATTTCCTCTGAGCCTCAGCAGCAAACACAATGTATTGATGAACACCTGGTCCTGCAGGGCACATCACCAGGCTTTCTTACCAAACTCTGTCTCATATGGTTTTCCATCTTCTGGCAGCTGAATGAACTGTTTGGAGAACATGCTGCCGCCGTATCCCAGGATGTATCCCTCCAGCCTGGTGTCAGTGTTGGGACGCAAAAACTTCATCACAATGGTGTCTCCTGTGGTGCTGATGCGGACTTTCATGTTTTGGCGTCTCACTGAGGAAGCAGCATCAGATTTATGTATTTTCTTTTACATTTTCTTTTGTTTCTTTCTTTTTTCTGCAGAGGTACAAAAACTGTCATTTTCAGTACCTACACCTTCTCAGACTTTTCTGCTGTCCACTACTTCAAAAGCAACAAAGTAGCAAGTACAGTAAAAGCAGAGATTTGTCTGGTTGAAGTTCAACTGAGGTACAAGACAATAGTTGTGATTTCTAAGCAGGCACATGTCTGCTTGCTTTCCAAATTGATAAGAACATTATTGTTTTCTGCAAACTACAAACATCATAAACTGCAGCTTGTTGCAGTGATCAAGGACTTTGAAGTGCTCTGAAGCAGCTTTTAAAAACAGCAGTGCATATCCAATCTTTGATCATTTCAGATATCAAAAAAAAAAAGATCAGCAAAGCTGGAACATTCTTGTCTTGATTTGAAAACTGGCAAACACAAACACAAAGAATACAGTCCCAGTCAGATAGGACAAATGCTAGATGAGAACAGGCACTAAAGAGGAAGAGAGCTTCCCCAGAATGCACACCATGGCTGTATTTTCATGGTGACCTAGAAGAAACCTTCAGCGCTGACACGTCCCATGGAAAATGATCTGTCTTGGCTTTAAAACAATCTGCTTATCTATATTAAATGGTGTCATAAATTCCTGAAAAAGTTGGCATCATCATAAAGTCAAGGAAAAAGGAACTCTCCGTGTCTTCAAACACAATATGTGGAAAAGTTTGTTTACCTTTTCTCATTATTTGCCTCTGTCATGTGGCCCGTCACACTAGCCAATAACTAGGAATGCTAACAATTAGCCAATTTACAATAGGAATACTAATAAACATCAGAGAACTGAGACAAGTGCAGCTGCTCCAGGAGTGTGACTGACCCTTGCCTGATGCACATGTAAAGCAAAAACACCAGTGCACACTTGGATAATACGCTGTGAGCAGTAATGATGGAAAGACTGTCAGTCTGCTTTAATTCAGTGACGTCATCCTCTGCATCTTTAAATATTTTTTTGCAGTGGATCTCACAAATGAGCTTACATGCACTAAATTGCTCATAGTCTACAAGGTTTAAAACAATGGGCTTTCTGCTTGGATTACGACTTGTATCATAGTCTCCACAGCACATGTCCTTGGCTCATATTTCAGTTAAATGAAATAGTGGAACTTTGCAGGAGGAATACTGCCAGGAAGCAGACAAACGCCAAAACAGACACTGACAGTGAAAGAGGGGGAAGCCCTGGATTTGAAAAATACCCTTATGCTTTTCCAGCGATGTGTTTCCTGTAAAATCTGCATTTGTTTCGATTCTCACATCAGTATTTCCGATAAAAACAAGAAACTGGCGCAGGGGGAGATGGGCTCAGAGTGCATAAAATATTAGGAAACTTCTGGCAACACGTTTTAAACTCCAGAACAAGCAAACATCGAATCTGCCCCATGACAACCTGCCCAAAGCCCGGTCATCTGGCCCATGCAACGCTTACACACTGTTAAGGCTTATCTGTATTTCCAGAGAAAAATGAATAAAGGTTTAGGAATGAATCCAGTCAAAGTGCTGACAATAAATCAAGTACAGTGAAAAGGAAAAGCACTGATGTTCAAGCTGTTTTTACACATGAAATGTAACTTTTACTTTTACGTTTGCTGCTGTAAAATACTTGTTTTGATTTAGGCAAGGGTGTAGCCCGAATAAAGCAGAGGGGGGCAGGACACAGGACAGCCACTCACAAGACCATCATTACCTGTGCTTCTCTTAAATCAGAGCAAACCATCATCACACAAAGACCTGGCAAGTTATGGACCATTTAATGTCAAACAGTGTGAGACATTAGTGTTCTCACATGCACCTAGAAGAGTTCAGAGCTGAAATTAAAATCTCACCCCTAATAACCAAGGACGGAGTACTGAACAGGCCAAAAGGAGGGTCAAAAAAGGGAACCAAAACAACAAATTCATTTTTTCCTGTTTAGATCTGTGACCTGTTACAAAAGCGTGCTGGAGGAGCTTTTGCAGCTCTGCCCAGGGGATCAATAATAAGAGTCGCATAATCGGTCCATGTTAAAGCTGGAGAGTGGGACTTTTGTATGAACATGAACCTTTTGCCATATAAGTTAACCCAATGTTGATTAATCCAGCACTGAGTAAATCTCTTGGCAATATCCTAGAGTGTTAAAGTATCATTTCTGTGCTGGTACGCCAGTAGGTATTTCACTTCAGCGAGCAATGATTAGTTTGCCTTAGCTGAAGGAGCAGACCAACACACGCATAGCATGCTACACCAGCTAGGAGTATGGTGGAGATCATGGCAGAAAGACTTAAGGAAACATTGAAGAAAAGCTTGTGATATTAACCCTTTAAGACCTACCATAGAACCAAGTCCACCAGAGCTTATATTATATTTTTACATGTTGTGGAGCCATTTTTGGGAGCATTTCAAGTTGATATACATCAATACAACCATTATAGCCCAAACTTTAATAATATGTATGCAATAGGTGCATAGTAATTACATAAATTGCAAAAAAGTGCAATAAACTACAGAAAAATTGAAAATCGTTTTTGTTTTTTTAACATATATTTCTAGTTAGAGAAATTTAAGAGGCTTATCCCTCAAAACTGTAAATACAAAAAAGTTGCACAAAATAGTTTCCCACCACAGGAAATTTATTTCAAGTGTCTTCATAGTTTTATTTTTGAAATACACCAATTTTTATATACTGCAATAAAAACGAAAATAAATCTTATAATGCAAATTTGCAAGAAACAGCATATGCATCAAAATAAACTATTTCCAGCAATGTAATATGAGTCCTAAGCATCCCAGAAACAACACAGAAAGCCATGAAGTCAAACATAACTTTTAAAAACACCAGTATAGGCTCACAAGGCCCTGATGGTAAAAAACTACATTTCCGCAAAATGGTGCCACTTCCGGTTTCGGGCAGGTCATGGCGGGCATGTGATGGACATAGGAAGTGTTACAAACAGCTGATCAGATCGGCAAAGCATGTTTCTGGAATATTATGTCTTTGTTGCTGCAAGTGCTTTTTATGCAGTTTTTGCAAAGCTATATGTGGAAGGAAACTGTGACTTAGGACAAGCTGATGGCATAAGATGTAAGTACAACTCCTCCGGTTTCATATGCAAAAAAAATTATTGCGCTAGCTTACGTGGTTGCAGTGCTACCGGGATTTAAAAATAGTTACGCAAAACAGAGCATGCCCGCTCCAACTGGCTTTAAAGGGTTAAAAAGAAAAATCCATGTTCTGAGGAAGGATAGGAGTCTGAAAACGATAACGATCAATGCTGAGAAGAAGAGAAAATGTCATAATTGCAAAAAGAATGAAAGAAAACTGATTAAAAAAGCTGCTACTATGCCAACCTGTTTTAATCAGTTTCATCTGTATGTTGCACACACACAAACACGCACTGGGGGGTGAAGCCCATTCATCACTGAATACTGTATAAGCACATCAATCATAACACTGGGAGTTGGCCTATAAACTTGTCGGATTATGCAATAAACTTTGCCACATCACACAACAAACAATTCTGCTCGTAGTCACCCTGGACCGATATCAAGACAACGTAATCCTGCTGGCTGGATATAGAGAAACACCCTCAAATGGGAAACTTAATCTTGGCTCTGCAGAGAGGCCGTGTTGGATCACTGATGGATGATCCTGCAGTGAAGAGAGTAGGTTAATTGGGTTGTCAGTTGCTCTCTTAAGCTTCAACCTGAGTGCAACGTGACATTTTTATGTTTGGTCATTAAAATTAAACATTGCAACATGGATCTGCATAACATATGGTTTGTTGGCTTTAAAACATTATGATTAAATGTCTGACATTATCAAACTACAAATCTTCACCATGAGCAGCCCTCTCTTGATGTAGTAGATTGTACTAAATGAGAACAAATAGACTGACTTTTCCACTCATGCTGATTTGAGAACCAATGGATGATAAATACAGATGCAAAACCCAACACAACCTCCCCATAAAAACAAATCTGAAGGAGGCCGCGAGGCTTGTTTTGTTTTCAAAATGCAATGGAAAAGAAATGTTGCTGTCTTTGTTTGAAGTAGTGTTGGTGGATGGAAGTGACACAGAACAGTGGTTTCATGTTAGTTTGTCTTGAGTCAGAGCAGCCGAACACCACAGCTAACCAAATTTCAATACAATGCTTGTGATTATTGCTCTGAAACCCGCGTTAACTATATAGACAAACATGATATCCTTCCCAGTATCCTCTGATCTGGTGTAGAGTATTTTGGCCTCTCAGATTTCTGTCCTGGAAGTAAAGACGTAGAGAGACTTGGCTTCCTCTTCCTGTGAGGACAGACAGATGTTTTATGGAGCTTGGTATAACAGTCACTTTCATGTAACAAAATGGAGTGTTAACATTTCTCAGAGCCCCGTGCCAGCCAAAGCAGCAGGTGTTTGAAAAACTGACCTATAATGGCTCTAATGAGAACCACTCCAGACCAGGATAATTCAGCCCAGAGAATATCTACTGTAATTCAGCAGGAGACCGTACCTTGCAGCCTAGCAGCAGATAATTGTGCCTGGAATTTGACTCCTGCTTTTTACCCCAACTTTGGCTTCCATGCAGGTCTCGCCGCGCTCAGATTTAATATCCCCCCATGTCAGATTCAACTGCAAGGAACAGCTGTTTTCCCTTGTTCCTATGGCGTAGCTCCATCTCGTCCTTCACCGCCTTTTCTCCATCTCTGCCATCCCGCATGACTCAATAGCCATCCTTCCATCAACCTGATCCTCTTTTTAACTTCCTAAAGTGCTTTGAATTCATCTTTCTTGTCCTCTAATCTCGTCCACTTTCCTCTCTCCTGCCATATTTCTCTCTCATTAATCTCCACATTGCACGAGGCCATGTTTGGTCTGGCACAGCTGCAGTTAGCATCCTATACAATATATTGTCCTCAAGTGGGATAGTGGTAAATAATTTTAGCATTAGCAGAGATTTAACTCATTCAGATACAGATGGGAAAAATGTTTAAGAGCACAAATGCATAACTAAGAATTAAAAGCACTGGAAAGTAGACTGACATCCATATATTTTGCTCTATCTGTCAGACAATAAAGCAAACTAATTTTGCAGAAAACCAGGTTTTATCTTTGGTCCAAGTAGAACGATACAGACATTTACCCCTCTGTTCCCATAGCATCAATACACACAGCCCCTTTCATCTAGCTGCCAAAGCTGCACACTGAGATTTGTCTGTAAGCCAACTTCAGTAAGCAGATTACACACTGGAAGCAGCCTTTATTTTCACCAACTCCAGCCCTCTCACCCCAAATCACTTTTAGTACCATCCAAATCTTTAAAGGGCACCAAAGTTTTAGTCACAAAATACATCAAGGCTATGAAGCACAGTCTCAAAGTTTGCTTTACTTTGTGTGTGTACTTTGGTTTCTGGATAATTACATAACATGTAAAACATTTGCATGTTTTTCCAAGAATGTTGCAAGAATCAAATCAGACATAAGACTCAATACACGGGGTGGTGTTGATGAGTTGGAGACCTCAAACTGATTTTTGTAGATGTCAGAGTGGAGGCACTTTAGCAAAAATATTTTTCGGTCAGCAGGTTTTTTTAAATCTGAAGAGTCTGTATGTATTTAATTTTAAGTGCTGTTCTCAGGGAGGCTGGTAATCTGGTGATCTTAAACTATAGAAGGAGAACTACAATGAAGAAAACCACAATGATCACTCATTAAAATATGTAACAAATACCTCACTTGTCATGCAATCAGTAGTTTCCCCCGTCGCTGATTTTTAAGCAAAGGACAGTAAGACAAATGCAAAGACCACCTACCTCTGACCACAGAGGGACCAGACAGAGCTATCCTAAAGATGAAGACTGCAAGGATAAGGGCTAGAAAGATGTGCGAGTGCTGCTGCATCTTCATCATCTGCTGATGTCGGCTCTCAGATCTGCAGTGATCTGAATGATCTCAGAGATCTCACACCACGAGTGAGTCAAATAAATGCTTTCACTGATTTGGCAACAGGTGGTTGAGTGAAGTGTCTGCTGCAGAAATCAGGCTAGACGTGTCCGAGTGGCTGGATACTTGTCTGAGCTTCTGGTTCTCGGGACTAGTGCTGTTCCCTAGACTGGACTTCTGGATGCAGCAGGCTGCTCCTGCACCATCTATACCTCTGGATCAGAGGGAGGGGACAGATGGAGCAAGACCCACCCACTCTCCTCCTGCTGCCCCATCTCTCCTTTCCCCCGCACTCTCTCGTTTTCACACTCTTTCCCTGCAAATGGAGAGGAGGTTTTCTCCAAGCCACCCACCCTCCACAGCCTTGTTTTCTTTTCTTAGATCATTATGTTGTGTCCCCATTTCTCCATTTGTTACCTCGTCACTGTAAATCTTTTCAGGACCTCTAAGAGTGTCATTGGCCCAAATATGACATTTACATGAAAGTTTAAAAATCTTTTTATTCATATTGTCAAACCCAATTTTTGTCTAATCAGATTTTTGTCTGAGCAATAATCTTTGGATTTGAATTTTGCGAGACCCTAGATTTTGTTTAATTTCTGTCACCTTTGACCAGGGGAAAAATGGGCAACTAAGTGTTTGAGGGCAACTCAAACACTTAGTTAAAGATCTTTTTTTAAAATAAACTCTGCATGAACATTGAATATTTTGTATCCCTATCCTGTGAAGCAAAGTTGAGCTGAGTCACATTAAAACTTGAGGATAAAGCTGTTTCAGCTTCTATGCAATACTCCAGCTGAAACATACTCCGTATATCATACAGCTTTATCCTCTCTGACTGCTGACCTAGAGCAGGGGTCCCCAATCCCAGTCCGCGAGGGCCGGTGTCCCTGCAGGTTTTAGATCTCACCCTGGGTCAACACACCTGAATCACATATTTAGTTCATTACCAGGCCTCTGAAGAACTTCAAGAGATGTTGAGAAAGTAATTTATCCATTTAAATCAGCTGTGATGGATCATGGACACATCTAAAACCTGCAGGGACACTGGCCCTCGTGGACCGGGATTGGGGACCCCTGACCTAGAGTCTCAAAAAGAGAATACAAACAGTATAGGTCTGTAGAGAAAGAAGAGATTGTCAGGTGCTCAAATCAAGCAGAAATCAGAATAGGTAGTCTATTGGAATCAAATTGAGAAGATCGATTCCATCAGGTGCATCATCTCATCCAATGCACTTTTGTTGTTTCCAAAAAAATATCCTTGCGTCTGTTTCTATCTTCTTCTATAAATACAATCACATTATCTGTGTAAAGATTGTCAATGGAAAAAAGAACTATAAATGGCCATACAAGCGCAAACAACGTTGAGTATGTCTGTCACCACAAGGTAGTGCACATTTAAATCAGACAGTAAGAACCTGCTTTTTTCACCTGAGGAACATTTCTAAACTTAGATCCATCGTGTCAACAAGTGAACTCGAGATGATAATACATGCTTTTATCTCTACAAGACTTGACTACTGTAACAGCCTATTTACTTGTCTAAACATGAAAGGGCTAGCCCGCCTACAGGTTGTTCAAAACTCTGCAGTGAGGCTACTGACCCCCTCGAACAAGGGTGCTCATATGACCCCTGTTTTAAAGTCACTGCACTGGCTACCAATCAGATTCAGGTTCCATTTTAAAATTCTAGTTTTAACTTTTAGAGCATTACAGAGACAGGCACCTCCCTACATTGCTGATCTGATTCATACACACACCTCCACTCGTAACCTGAGGTCAGCAAACCAAAACCTTTTCGTGGTCCCCCACACTCGCTTTAAAACCCAAGGGTACCGATCTTTCCAAGCTGTTGCACCCAGATTGTGGAATGCACTTCCCCTATTTCTACGGGGTTTGGACTCAGTGGAGACCTTCAAAAAGCAGCTAAAGACATTTTTATTTCAAAAAGCTTTTAATTAGACCAGGGTTTTCATGGTGTATTTTATGACTGTATTATGTTTTTACCTTGTAAAGCACTTTGTGACATATGTCTGTGAAAGGTGCTATATAAATAAAGTTTACTTACTTACTTACACATCTATCTGTATGTTACAGAGTACCAGAGTTGCCATTAACATGCAGCAATGGGTGGTTTGCATGAGTGAAGTTCAAGAGATGAACCACAATGGAAGTAGGCTACTACCTGACTTAGGAATAGAAGAAGAAGAATAGAAGAAAAGCCCTTTATTATCATTGTACATGCACAATGAAATTATGGGTGCACCATGCCAAATGTTAAACAGACAGACAGACAGACAGACAAGAGGAATATATACAAAACAAGAAAAAACACACAACGGAGCGTAAAGTGGTTGGAAGCAGCCTCCAAGGGGTGGCAGAGGGTAGCCAATGATTTTTTTTAGGCGGTGTTAATTACCCATGGCTAAGCTATATGGCTAGCAATACAGCCATATAGCTTTAACCCATAAAAAAGGCTTTAGTTACATTGAAACACAGCATTCAGCAGAATGGTTACCATCAAACCAAGAAACCCAATCAACAAATAGGCCAAACAGGGATTACCATGCGTGTGGCTTTAATTTGTCATGTGTTGACAGTGTTAGTGTAAATACTCTCACTACCAGAAGGGGGAGACAAAAGTTCCACACTGGTGGTTTAAATGTGAAAATAAATGTGGGATTACAAGCAGCAGGTCTCCACAGCCTGAGTGTGTTCCAGTTAAATCCCCAATATGTCACTTAGTCACACATACACACACTTAAGTCTCTACAAGTTGACGTAATGTGCATCCAAATTCGACAAGTTGTGAGCATACAGAATAAGGCTTTTACATTTGCTGGAAACAACGGCATCATCCTTTCTATAAATACATTCTTTGCAAGTCACGTGCAGCACAGACCAGCTGACAAAAAAAAAACAAAAAAGCAACTGCCTTTGGCAACCATGTGTCATACATTTGGACATGATTTTCCTGTGCATCACTAACACATGGTGACAGCGTTGCATCATGGGCTTTCTTTGAAATCACCACTCTTTACAGTCACAGCGTTTCGTTTTTGCATCTGTTTGTGTGCATGCTCCACTGCGTTTCCTTGAGCCCGTCGTATTTCTGGTCAGCCAAGAATATCGGCCCTCACAGACAGACACAGACACAGACTGTTTGTGCAAGGCTCACACATCTGCTAGCACATGCGTGTTTATGTGCGTGTGTATTTAAACATCTCCACCCTCCGATACACTGCACTCCATCCCATCCCACATGTCATCACACGAGACGGGAAATGCTATTGCTTACCAGAGGAGGTGTTTCTTCTGTGGAAGTCCCTGAACAGATAGCTTTGGCCTTCATCACGTCAGAATCCATTAAACCAAAAATGAATCATAGGCTACTAGTGAAAATTTTAAAAAAAAGTTATGAAGACTGGGTGTAACCAGTTTCCTTAAACTGCTTTTCTGTGGGATGAATGGAAACATGACAGATAAAGACCAAATAAATTATTGATTGATTCATAAAAGAGCATTAAAAGAAACTTTCTTAAGCAGGTCAAAAGAATTTGATTTCTAACTTGGGCCCCTCTGATCTAAAACCCACAAATCAAGTTAATATGAAAGCTTTGCCATTTTCCCTTTTACAATGCCAGCGTAAATGCGGGTTCATACAGGAATATCCACGGACCAAATATGGAAAAAAAACAACAGCCAGGCAACTACTGAGCAAACTAACATAACCAAAAAAGCAGCTCGGGAGTGTATTGCCACTACTCTGAGTACGGTGGGGTATAAAAATACTCTGGTTAATATACATCCACATCCAAAAGTGCATTACCTCCATTACATAACCAGAAAAATCACATATTTTATTTTCTACCCTTTTGTATGCAGCTTATTTACATGGACAAATGTCTGGATGTTGTCCAACAATGAGCGCTATAACCAGCAACTGCAAAACAGCTGTGAGTTAATCCCACAGGCAACTGTATGCATCAAAGTCAATGTGCTTTTTTTGTCACTGACAAGCTTAGATTGTTTTTCTAAGTGAGTGTGATTGTTTTCGATATCGAGCCATGCTTTTGCTTGTACTAATACCAAATCAACAAAATAAGGTTAGTTCCACTCTGTCTGCAGCAGGTCTGTCCAGTCTTGGAACAGCTTTTTTTTCCAGCAAAGTGCAGTTTTGGGTTCTTCTTCTGTTTGACTGGCGGTAATCCTTCCAGTTAAAATGGTCACGGCAAACACAACTGCCTGCAAGGCACAGCATAAGGTCAGTGCAGCCCCAGCTTCAACAAATACCTAGCAATTATAGCTGTCAAATAAATGTAATAGAGTAAAAAGGGAATAATAATTCCCTCTAAAGCAGGCATAGATAAATCATTTTCCCAAGAGTCCAAATGAGAAACTGGGACTGTTGTGAAGCATTGCAGCAATAAGCTTAAAAAGAGGTAAAATTAATATTGAACAGCGTATTATTGTGGCCTTACAAAACAGTCCGTTTCTCGGGTCATGGAGTCAAAGTAAAAACGTCAAGAAATGTAAATAGAAAAATGCAAGTACCTCAAAGAGTACAATACTTCAGTTAAAGCATTTACACCATTTACACCATGCTATTGATTTATTTACTACTTCATCTTTACCCCCACCACAACCAACAACAACTTTTATTCTTATACGCTTATATTTCCTCAGCTTTCTTTTCACACCTCTCATAAATATCTTATCCAAAAAAGAGCCTTTTTTTCAACTTTTTACCCAATGTTCTCACTGCCTTGCAACACCACCAATTTCTCTGGTTTCCATCATCCCACTTGCCTTGTTGAATGCAGTCTGGTTTCTATCACTAGAGGAAATATATGTGGTCACCAACTGACCTAATTCATATTTTCAAGAGTTGCAACGCAACAGAATGAACATTACATTCAAAGCTTATAAACAATATTTGTATGTAAACCCTTTGGCAGAGCGCATTTTGCTGGATGGAACTAATTTTTTGTGCGGCATTCTTGAAACAGTTTACAGCACAAACAACAATAGAAATGGACTTTCACTTTCAGGGCTCACAGTACGAATCATACTACGTGGGGTAGATGTTCTGAGCTGTTCTGTTACAACTTTTTATTGAAACACTAAGCAGCAGTGATTCAGAGTGAAAACTGCTGTTAACTAAATAAAAGATAAATGGTTCAGAGCATCAGATTT